TATTTTTTTGAATACCCGTCTTCTAAACTTAAAGATTCGTGCATTATCCTCGACGGGTAGTTGATCCAATCTTAATCTGGTCATCAAAAAAATGGTTAGGCATGACTAGTAGCTCATGCTGATATACCTAAATAAGAAATTCTTCTTGATAAATAGTCTATGACACTGGATCTCATGATTGATGACATTATGAACAAGAGGTGGCACCCAGAAAGTGGTGCATAGGTCGAGCCAAGAGTCGAAACATGTTTGCTGCTTAAATATCTTTTCTTGTACAATGTTCAACCTTCTCTTTAACATGTTTGAAAAACTTCGAATGATTTTCGAACATGTCCTATGTCTTCGAGAACTGTTTTTAGTGTAAATGAACAGCTTAAAACGGCTCAAAAAACATTTTACATTAAGAAAAAATAGAAAACTTGTAGTCTTTCTGTGTTTAAAAAGATTTGAAAAGGCCGATTGTCAAAGACGTCATTTTTGGAGGGCCTTCAAGAAAGATTTTCGGGTATAAGGGATACAAATAATAATTTTGCCTTGTTTATATATTGGGGACACATAACATATTTTCACTATTAGAAAATCATATATTATCCAAAATTGTTGTTATTTCTTAATATTTTGAAGAGAGGGATAATGACCTAAACTTTCCTCCAACAAAAATAATAACTGGAATATACTTAAATTATTTTTTGGTGAATAGTTTTAGTAGAGAGTAATATAAAGAAAATGGCCACAAGATAAATAGATTTAATGAATATAAAGTTAAACAGGAAACATGCTTGACTTCTTTTTGCTATATTATGTGTCCCACATCGGTTCATTTGTTAATAGTAAAAAAAAAGGGATGAGCCCTATGTAAAGAAGGGAACGGTTACTGTGCCTTAAATCAGAGCGCCTCCTTTTGTTTGTTGATGGTATATTTTTATTCATAAACCAGTTTTAATTAGGTAGATAGGGTTCGGACATAAACATCACTATAGTGTTTTTTCATATAAAAAATTCAATATAAGCACTACTAAAAAACTGGGTGAATTCCTACGGAAATTAGTGACGGAATTTTTCCATCGGAAATTACTGACGGAATTTCGACGGAATTGTGACAAATATAAAAACCCTAATTTTAGTGTCGGAATACTGACAAAATAGCGACGGAAATAAATTTCGTCCGAAATCCGTCGGTGATTACCGACGGATGGCCCAAGTCTAGTATTTCGTTTACATTCCATCGGTATCACCGATGGATTTCCGACGGAATTGTTTTTTAGAAAATAAATCAACTTTTTTTATACTAATATTCTAAAAATATTTCAATTATTATTATTATTAGTATTATTAATTGTGTAATTCTTTCTTTTTATATATATATATATATATATATATATATATATATATATATATATATATATAATAAATCAATTTACTAATTATTAGAGTATAAGTAATTTTGTTATTACTTATAATTATTATGATAATTATAAATTATCAACGTAAATGTTGTTTTAAGAAATAAGTAAACTTTTTTATTTATATTATTATAAAAATAACTCAATTATTATTAATAATAGTAATTAACTATTAACTTTTATAATTAAAATATTATAATTATCACCCAAATAAATCCACTTTTTTATTAGTATTAGTATATAAAAATAGTTTAATTACTTTTAACAATATTAGTTCTTAAATAATTATTTACTTTTTTAATTAAAATAATATAATAATTATTATTAATTACTATTTATCATAACTATTAGTATTAGTAAATAAATAATTAATTACTTTTTTATCGAAAAAAGGTGTAAGAAAGGATATAGCGATAAAAACCATGTTTGGTCCCCGAAAACCTGAAAATTAGAATCGAAACGTCGGTTCCGAAGGTGTACATGAGTGTACGTGGGTGTACAGTTAAGTATATTATGTGCTTTATGTTAGTGCCTGGTTGTTTGGGGCTGTTTGGGTTCGTCATCACAGTTTCGAATGCTTATTGCCATCTGATCAAAAATTTTCAGCCACAATCCTCTTGAACCTTGTTTATACAAATTGTTGTATTATATTGTTGATAATGTTGATTTCTTTGGTTAAATGTTAGGTTTTAGGTTAAATTTTTAATAAAGTTTGTGAAATGCAAGATTGTTAGCTAAATGATAAATGCTAGTTAAGTTTTAGTTTGTTTGAATGTTATGATATTGTTGATTTTTTGGTTAAATGTTAGGTTTTAGGTTAAATGCTGATTTATTTTTGTAAAGTGTGAGATAAATGTTATGTTATGTTGGATTTTTGTGAAAATTTTGATAAATGTTGGTTAATTGTTGTAACATGTTAGATAATTTTTATGAAATGTTTCATAAATGTTAATTTGTGAGATTTTTGTGAAATGGTTAGATGTTTTGCTCATTCTTGTTCAATCTAATATTGTATATTTACACATTCTTGTTTTATTACATGAAACATGTCAGATAGCAGTGGTAAGGGCAAGGGACCAAATCGTAGCTCCATGCGTGTTCATGTTCCTCGTAGGCCATCCTCTGGTGATAGTGGAGCTCCACGACACCACACTTTGCTTACACATGTCACACGCGAGTTAGGATTTGGAGTTGCAGGCTCGAATAGAAGGAGTGCTATTAACCAACAAACAGGTGTGGCTGATCCACTTGCGGATATGGCAGGGGTGATTCATAGCACACTCAACCCACATGGGGTTTCCATTATTGGAGGCCATGGCGAGGAGCACGCCGATTACTACTATGATCAGGATTTTGATGTCGACATGATGAGGCAATCCTCGCCGCACGTGCCGAATACGCCGCATACGCCACATTCGACTCGTCACGGATCTACCGTGGGTGCTTCACATGAGTCTACATTGCCATTTATCACCCGAAATGGCTACGCGTTAGTGTTTTTATCTTTTATATTTTTTATTATTAATGTTATGATTATACTTATATATATATATATATATATATATATATATATATATATATATATATATATATATATATATATTTCAATATTGCAGGTTTGGTGATTCTCGTGTCCATAGGGCAATTATAAATATATTCTGGGAGAAACTAGATCACTCGTGGCCTGTCTTTTCAAAGATCCCATTGGAGTTACGCACACACATGTTTGATCGTTTACGGGTAATATATTAAATATTTATTAATATATCTTATGCTCATTTGTTTTATTTTTGATATTTGACTTAACATTTTTTTTTCTTCAGACTTTGTATCGGTGGTCTCCAGAAGAAGAGGAGAGGATCTACCAAGGCTTTGAGAATATTTTGAAAGAGCGCTACCGTGACCGGATGAAGGACGCTAGGGATGTTTCAGTCGTTCTGCAGAACAAGGTGGCCACCATATCGAAGAAGTGAATGAATCTTTTCACATCTTAGAAAATTTCCATCCCGAATACATCCTAGAGAATGTTTGGAAAAACTTATGTGCTGTAATGGATTCAATACATTACTTTTATTTTTGTTGATTTTTATTCCTTGTTATATTATTATAGATATATTTTATTGGAACACTCCTAAGTGGAAAAACATATCTAAATATGCGAAGAAAAACCGCAACACTCCCGATGCTAACCATCACAGGAATGAAGAGGTATGTTGTTTTTATTAGTACATTACTATAATGAATAAAAAGTATAGTATATTATTATTAGTACATTGCTATAATGGATAAAAAATGTAGTATGTTGTTATTATGAGTACTTTGATTACTATAATGGGTAAAAAAAGTCAAAGTATGTTGTTATTTTGTGTATGTTTCTATAATGGACAAAAAGTATAATATGCTGTTATTATGAGTATTTGATTGCTATAATGGGTAAAAAGAGTCAAAGTATGTTGGTATTATAAATACGTTGCTATAATGGATAAAAAGTATAGTATGTTGCTATTATGGATTAAAAATATTGATATAATGGATAAAAAAAAATCAAAGTAAGTTGTTATTATGAGTACGTTGCTATAATGGACAAAATGTATAACATGTTATAATGAGTACTTTGATTGCTATAATGGATAAAAAATGAAAATATGTTGTTATTATAAGTACATTGCTATAATGGTTTTATTAACTATTTATGTTTGTCTTACCATTTTTAGGTAGAAAGATTTCGCAATGAAATTGCTAGCATGCGTGAAACTGAAGCACAAAGGGAAGCACGAGACGCACAAAGGGGATTCTAAATGGAGGAGATGCGAAAAAAGCATGCCTTGCTTGAAACACAAATGACGACTTTTTTCAAGCAAAACAATTTCTCCGGAAATCCACCACAAGGAAATTAGTTTATGTTTCTAGTCTAAAAAATTAGTAATCGTATTTTGTGACACTTTTTAGTTATGTTCAAACAATTGGTAATCGCGTCCGGAGTATGATGTTTAATTAGGTATTTTGGAATACTAATTAGTGTATTGTTAGACGTTTAATTAAATATGGTAATCGTATTTTTTGACACTTTGTGATTGTATTTCTTTTTTATGTATTCATTTTAGTTTACTTTTTGCATTTATGTGGAAAAAAAACTGGATTTTTTTTTTGAATTATTTTTTCTTTTTAAAGAATCATTTTACCGACGGAGTAGTGACGGAATAGTCACAAATGAAAAGGTAAGAAAATCCGTCAGTAATCCGTCACTAAAAAAATCCGTCGGTAACCCGTCACTTACGATTCCGTCGGTAATCCGTCACTAAAACTATCCGTCGGTAATCCGTTACAAAGAAGTTTCCGTCGGTAATCCGTCACGAAAAGTATCCGTCGGGACGCTGTCGGTATTGCGTCGTTAATTTGGTCAAAGAGGTCCAACAAATTACGACAGACCGAATTCCGTCGGAATTCCGTCGGAAATCGTGTTTGCGACGAATTTCCGACGGATATGGCCGTCGGAATCGCCCAATTTTCTAGTAGTGAAGGATGAGGAAGATGAGGATTTCGATTAAAGGAGGTGTCTGGACAAACACAGAGGATTAGATCCTCAAGTCTGCTGTGATGAAATACGGGAAGAACGAATGGGGTCGTACGTCTTCCTTACTTGTGCGCAAATCCGCTAAACAGTGTAAAGCTCGTTGGTATGAATGGCTCGATCCTTCCATTAAAAAGGTACGCAACATATTCTCAAGAATTGCTAGTATACATATTGATTTTATTCTAGATCAGGTGTCAACTTCTGACTAATGTTTCTTATCTTAAAGCAAGAACGCTAAGGGTAAGTTTCATATATACACAGAAATAAGTTTTCCAAGTTCTGGCATGGGATATACGTTTTGGTTTGCCACATACAACAAAATATATATGTTGATGCCTGTATCTTGATGAATCTTTTCTTGGGTAATGTCATTGTAAGGGTTGTTACAATTAATAAGTGACATGAACTTGTTAGAAGAAACCTTATACCTTAGCTTGTTAGGTAGAGACAAGGCGATAGGAGAGACCCTTTAATAAAGAATTACAACTATCTAGCTTGGATAAACTCTAGCTCTTGATGAAATCATAATATTCTTGCCATCAGTTTTGTAATAATCCATATCCAGACTGTTTTTCTATTTAACATTTACAGACTGAGTGGACCAGAGAGGAAGATGAGAAGTTGCTTCATCTTGCTAAGCTCCTGCCAGTCAATGGAGAACAGTCACTCCCATGGTCGGCCGCACTTACTGTGAATGCATGGACCGCTACGAAAAGCTTCTGGATGCAGCTTGTGTAAGGGATGAAAAATATGACGATCCAAGAAAATTACGACCCGGAGAGATCGACCCAAATCTGGAACCAAAGCCTGCTTGATCCGATCCAGTTGACATGGATGACGATGACAATAAATGCTTTCAAAAGCACCGGCTCGATTATCCAATACAAGGGGCAAAACGGCAAAAAGGAAGGCCAGGGAGAAGCAGCTTGAAGAAGCCAGTCGCCTTGCCTCTTTGCAAAAGAGGAGAGAATTGAAGGCGGCTGGAATTGATGATTACAGGAAAAAGAAGAATTTCGACTGCAATGCTGAGATTCCCTTTGAAATCAGGCCGAAACTTGGCTTTTGTGACGTCGCTGGTGAAAGTTCAATAGTTGATCAACCTAAATTCCCAACCACCATACTAGAAAATTCTCATTAACCTACAAAAACCACCTACAAACGAAAGCCAGTAAAATATTTGTCCTAAATCACCTGCAAACTACCTACAGGTGAGCGGATAGATTACCTACAAATTACCTACGGATAATAATATTTTATTCCGAATTAGTACTATGTAACTATTCTGTAACAGCATAGCAATGGATAATTAAAAAACCCCAATTTTTTAATCGAATTAAAAATGTTGTAGGAATTTTATAGGTAATTAACTACATATTATCTACGGACGTGAATAAAGGTGGGAACTTTTTCATTTTCGTTGGTAATTCGTCGTAAACTATTTTCATTTCCCGCTTTTTCTATTATTATTCATTAATTCATTATTATAATTAATAGTAGTAATTTTATTTTTATTATTATTATATATATATATATATATATATATATATATATATATATATGTGTGTGTATGTGTATGTGTGTGTATTTATGTAGTGTTTATTTATTATATCCATTCTTTTAATTAAGGTATAACTGTTTTGAAAAAACGAAAAACGAAACCGAAACAAGGTGTTTGACCTTCGATATATGAGAAATACACGTATATAATATACATACAAACATGTGTGTGTGTGTGTGTGTGTATATATATATATATATATATATATGTATATATATATATATATATATATGTGTGTGTGTGTGTGTGTGTGTGTGTGTTTATGCATGTGTATGTATACAAAAAAAAATTAACTTGAAATGAGTAATGGGTTTCGATTGTGTACATGGATGTATGTATGTTAATATGATGTATAACTTGGTGAAAACAAAGTAATCAATGTATAACAATGTTGTGAAAAAAATGAAGCAAAAAAAAATAACATTTAACCCTTCGAAAATGAAAAATACAAAAACATTTGTAGGTAAGGTGTAGATAATTACCTACGGATTTTGTATTCCGTAGGTAATATGTAGTTAAGTACCTATAGATTACCTACATATATTTTTGTATTTTTCATTTTCGAATGGTCAAATGTCGTTTTTTTCGCTTCATTTTTTTCACAACATTATTATACATTGATTACTTTGTTTTCATCAAGTTATACATCATATAAGCATATATGCATCCATGTACACAATTGAAACCCATTACTCTGATTTATGACGATTGATTCAGACTACCAATTGAACACATCAATTCAGTCCAGGCTTGGCCAAGAGCTTTAAATGTCGACATCAAATCATCGAGGGGCCCACAGATATCGCTTTCCCATTAGGGCAAAAGGAACGGATAAACTTCGACTCATATGGTTGCACTATTCACTCATCAAATCACGCACAACAATACGTTTTATAACATCAAGTAACTGATGTGTTTACGTATTATCAATGCACAACTGACTTGTAAACAACAACTCATATATCCCCGTTTCAAGAATATAAGATATTATCGTCTCAGAACTACTCGTGATAAAATCCATGAAATAATTCTCTCAGCGTGGGTTTATCCAATACTCAAAAAATCCCCATTTTTCCAAGTACTCACGAACGTTGCAGCAAACCATTGCAATGGCTAAACCCTTAGACAATCTACAATCCAATTCATGACAGTCTTAATTCGCTACTTACTTCCAAAAGTACGAGCGGTTGTGGACGTTTGAATAATCCAATTATTCAGGAAGTCAAACATGCAAAGTGAAACACAATAATAACCTAATTAACTATTGTCTCAAAATTGTTGAATATAAATAAAAATCTTATTATTTAATCATCATATTAGTTAGACTTTATTCATTGTATAATGTTTCGAGTAATCAACTAAACACTTGAATTAAACATCAGTCATGCCATGTTATAAACATGCATACTATGTCTCTGTATAGTCCTTCCTTTATGAACAGATCACAATACCAGATTCTTGTTACTACTAAATGTGTTAGAGTTCAACCTTACATCCAATGATCTTTTGTAATGTCGAGGCTTCAAAGTCACAGAGACTTAGCCAACGATATCACAAAGTGTTCCATTGAAACTTTTTTACTTAAAACAATTCGAAGGTAATGAAGTCTCAAATTCAAGGTACATGTAACATCCCAAAATTTAAGACCAAAAATTTCATTTTAATTAAGTTATTATATAAAACCAACAATATAAAAACATTCATAATAATATCTCATGTCAAAACCAAAGTGTCAATAATCAAAACATATTATCATAAAACCATATCAGAGTGTAATCCCAAAGATCTCATGTGCGGAAAATATAGTGTGATGCGTTACGATCGAGCCGACTCCTTTCCTTTGAAAATGTAGTACCTGAAATCAAAACTGAAAACCGTAAGCACGAAGCTTAGTGAGTTCCCCCATCATACGACATACCACATAATGCCTGTCCCTCGGTATCTTTCAACCGGTATCTATCTGGCATAACTTGGAGCTGGGCTCCCCTTCGGTATCTTTCAACCAGTATCTGCCTTCGGTATCTTTCAACCGGTAACTGCCTTCGGTATCTTTCAACCGGTAACCGGGGACTATTTCACCCCTTACCACCATCATATCATAAGCATACTGGTCATATGATAACATATCGTACACATACTGATCACATAATAACATACCATAAACATACTGCTAGGCATGCATGGGTTCTGTCCACCCCTTCGATATCTTTCAACCGGTAATCGGGAACTATTTCACTCCTACCACTACCACATAATAACATAAACATACTGCTAGGCATGCATGGGTTCTGATGACCCCTTCGGTATCTTTCAACCAGTAACCGAGACTAATCCCCCTACCACCACTACACATATATCATATCATGTTAATCACATAAAACATATCAGGTAGTAGCAAACCTAGATAATTATCACAAAGACAATCATCTATCAACCAACTCCTACTAGTGGGACGACATTGTGGCCGTAGACCCACTCCTACTGGAAGGTAACTCACCTCACACTGCTGAAGTCCCGCAGACACAACCCCAACTGTTGGATGACAGGTTCCCGAACTGTCAATATCAAAACATCACCCAATTAATAATTGGGTCCCAACACATAACCATAAGTTCTTGGAGTAACAGGCTACATTACCCCCATCTTGGCTTGATTCAAGCACAAGGCCCAATCCAAAGGCCCAAAAGTCAAACTAGGAATCAAATCCCAACATATGGCCCAATTTTCCAAATTGGGCCCAAACCTTTACATAGTCTTATTCAAAGGCCCAACCATTTAGTCCAGTCCAAACATTTGGCGTTTCTAATGGCCCAATATTTCATAATCATAAAGGCCCAAACTATGGCCCATCTATGGCCCAATGGCCCAATTTTCCAAATTGGGCCCAAACCCTCATATGGCCTTACACTAAAGCCCATCAGCATATTCTAGTCCATATGATTATTCTCGGATGGCTCATTAATAACCCAATTACCAAGGCCCAACTCAAGGCCCAAGTGAAATTAGGGTTTCACATAAAATGACGATTAGGGTTAAGTGTTTCTCACTTAACCCATTAAGGACTTAATCCATTAAGTCCATCACTCTACTAGACAAATCATATGGTGTAATCGGGCTTAATACATAGTCCAATTCCAATGGCCCAAAATGCGGGTCCCGATAAGTCCAACCCCAAATTAGGGTTTTCTAAACCCTAATTAGGGTTTCCAACCCAATCATAGCCCAATAGGACCAAAACTAAATCTTTAGGTCAATTAGGGTTTCAATAGGCCCATTAGGGTTTCACTAGGCCTATTAGGGTTTCGCTAGTCGGGCACCACCCACTACCACTTCGGGTAGTGGTGGTCAATGGCGGCTCACGACGGCGGCCAGCACCTCACGGTGGTGGTTAGGGTTTCTAGTCCATTTTGTCCAAGCATCCAAAAAAATCAACTACATGCGAGCAAAAGCACACCGCCACCCAACACGGCGGTTGGTGGCGGCAGGAGGCGGCAGCCACCACCATACGGTGGTGGTTTTGAGCTTTCTTTTTATTATTCCACTTTCTAGTTACATTGTACAAATCTTTAATCCCAAAATAAACACACACTTAAGAGAACAAACACACACACAGCCACCTTGTGGTGGCCGGCGGTGGTGGCAGCCACCACCTCACGGTGGTGGTGATGCCTTTTCCGAGAATTCTAGCCAAACATACACGCCCACAAACTGAAACACGCACACCTTCACGTCTTTTGCTCGGAAAGAGAAGCTAACCACCCACCTGGTGACATATGGTGGCAGTGATGATTTTACGATGGCAGCCATCACCTCACGGTGGTGGCGGTGGTTCCTTTTATTTCCCATTCAAGCAGCAACGACACCAGCGACACTCGTCTTCAAAGGAAATAGCAGCAACGGTGCTCGTCATGGTGGTAGTTCCGGCGGTTGGCTTGCAATGAAATAGTGGGACGGAAACGATGATCCTCGGTTGTCTTAGGGCTCAAACAACGGCGACGAATGGGCAGAACGACGAAGTTTGTCGACGAGGCAGTAGGCAGACTGGGCTATCGGAGATGCCAAAAAGGGTGGTTGAGGAGGGCTTCTTTGATGGTGGCGGCTACCGGAAGTGAAGAAGGAGGTGGTGGCCGGTGGGAGACATAAGGGTGGAGAGTGTAAGTGACGGCTGCTGTCCATATTA